AATACATGTGATAGTGCAGAGGCAAACAGAATGGTAACTTGCTGTTAAATCTCTGTAAACTTCATGGAGTAAAGCAGCGATCAGTCCAAGCTGGGAGAACCAGTGGGACTGTTTTCAGAGTAGTGCTAGCAAGCGTGAGGTCTTCGCCTCTAGATAAGCCATCGGCCAAGTTGAGCTTTGACGGGACATGAGCAACAAATATGGCCGTAATGTGTGTAGGTCGGCAATCCCTCTCCAGAACTCGCTACTGATAACATTCAAAGAAGGAGATAAGGACGATCCGCGTAGAATGAGGCTTTCACAAGTCGTGTTATCAACAAAAAGGAGAACTGGCTTATCACGAATGTAAGTGCTGAAAGACTCAAGTGCGGCTCCTGCAGCGAGAATTTCCAACTTGTTAATATGCACGCTACGAGAGTTAGCAAGTTGTAGCTTTCCCGCCATTCCGGAGGTCGTAGATTGGTATGGAGCTACTATCCCCAGGCCGAAAGTCGATGAAGCATCTGAGTAGCACCAGAATGGAGCATGATGTAGACTGCATTCTCTCACAAGGTCTCGTGCATATGACCTTGCTGAGAATAACGAGATTAAGCTCGATATAGCGAAATCGATAACGTCAGATGACATCTGTAAGCCCTGGGTAGCACGTATCAGGATTCGAGTTTGCGCTCTACCAAGTCTGCCCAAAAGAGCTTCACAGCAAAACGAGGTCTTGCCGGTAAGCTTGGACGTCAAGAGGGCATGGTTCTGAAGGGCAGCGTGTAACTCTGATAGCAATGTCACTCTCCTGGTTGGAGTTAGACGCACCACGCATCCACCACTAGAGAGATCAAGTTCCAAGCCGAGCAGTAAGTTGCGAGAAGCTGGTGGAACGGTTTTGGAACTATTTACTTGAGCACCAGTTAGGGTGTTGAGGAAGAGGAAGAACTCAAACGAAGACTGACAGGTTTCCCAACCTTCTATGGAAAAATAGTCGTCCATGTAACTTACATGATGTAAGAGAATAGAGGGCAAAGACCCAAAAATCTGGCCAAATGACAGTGGAGTTCGCCTACCCGAAGGTAGGCGGACACGCTGCCGATAGCTCCGAATGGAGCCACTAGTGGCTTCACTACTTGAACAGAACCATCAGTGTGGATGAATAGTCCAGCGGCATATGATGCATCCTGCTTGGTGAGCGGTAATTGACGATAGGCCGCTTGATGATCAATGCGAGCCAAATGGAAGTCCGTCTGGTCAGACTTTGCCTCCGCTATCAATGAGGCTACATGACCCAAACGAGGCATTTCGACTTTATGTCGGGTAGTAGTGGCATTGTTGAACGTATAACGGCCCCCACGGAAGGAATAGTTCGATATGAGACGAATTTTGTCGCCTTGATCGATGCCAAACAGTGGTGAAACATACGAGATTGACTTTGGAAGCTCATTGTCACAAATAGGAAAAGGCCCTTGAAGGGCCGCCCTTCTGCTCGACCTAGAGACACTTCCGCCAGTATATCCGCAGAGAGGGCTTCCTGGAGACGCTCGTCGGTTTTAGAGGTTCGTAAGTAGGAGGACATACGTTGAATATCGCGAGTCCGTAGCATCAGATCATTTCTGTCACAACGGGCAACCCGCGGTTTGGTTAACTTCGGGAAGAGGCCTCCGTCGGGAATGTCGCCTGTGATGGGGAAACCTTGAGAGAGATCTCTGACCAATTGTGAGTCGACGTGGTTGGTGAGACTCACTAGAAGTTGAAGTGTGTGTAGGTTCCAGTGAGAAGCTGCTAAATGGGGCTTGAACTTGCAGTTAGAGGGAGATGAGGCAGAGAGTTGACTCAAGGCAACTTGATTATGACGGCGAAGCCAACGAAGTTCGGCCTTAGTAAGAGCTCGCAAAGCAGATGCTACAACCTGTAGCATAGTAGGAAGTTCGTACTTGGTCTCGATGTCGAAACCCTGCTCCAACACCCAGCTTGCATGTGCAAAGGGAGAGTCTACCACCGAAGGCGGGTCGTAGTCGGCCTGGTGAAGGCCACGAGTGGACTTGGATACGGGATACCCGTATCTGATGTCAACACCAGCTCTTGGACGAACGAGTAGGATATCGTGAGAGACAACTGTTTCGACAACACCATCGAGTGAAGCCTGCTTGATGGCATGTAGCAGTTTACGGCGGATGCCAGCACGTGTTGATCGTAGGCCTCGTCTGGTTTTAGGAGGGCGTGATGTGTGTGATGATGTTGACAAACTCCGTTTGCCGGCGTAAGACATTTCGTGATGAAGAAGAGGTGGAAAGACCTGCCAACACAACGAGGTAGGCAACCAGAAGAGTTCAACAACCAGTTGTCTGGGAGAGCTCATAATCGCTGAGCATGGACATAGTGAACTGAAGCTCGAAGCGTGGTAGTAGGTGGAGACAGAAAGTGATAGACTAGACGAGAATGGTGTGAGTAGACTCGTGGAGTGTGAATAATATCGGAAAGATTCGACAAGAGACAGGGGAAAAAAGGCGTCCGTAGGACTAGAGATAGACCATGAGCATGGCTTTTTGCTTTTGATTTCATTTGCGACCGTCGGACTTGGCAGGGGTGGAAGACGCAGAGTTTTTGTTTTGGTGCTTATCCCATGAGCCACAAGACCACCACTTGGTATTGTTGTAGTTGTTCCAGTCAGACCTAGTCGTTCTGTCCCACCAAGAGTAGGATGTAGGCCAAAGTTTAGATGACCTCGGTTGAGATGGGACCGTGGGAGGAGCAGGAGTGAAGCCCGTGAAGGAGGTACAAATCTGCTCTAAAATAAAACATCTGTGATTCGTGAGTAAGAGATCGACGTCTGGTGTGCGATTGTCGGCCACGGCTGCTGCAATTTGCTGTATGAGGCTTTCAAAGGCTTGCTTGGCGCGGAGAGTCCCTTGAGGGCCGTAACCCATATCACATAACAGGCCAACTGTTGTTGCGCAGGCGGCATAGGAGATGAGATTGGCTTTGTGCAGACGAGCCATAAAGGCTTGTGCGCCCAAGATGACGGCAGTAAGGGGCAGAGATGTATTCGAGTCGTCAAATTTGTGACCCTTCATGCGACGCCACCCTTGTGAGATGAACTCGTACCAGCTAAGGTCCAACCAAGTAGATAACCAATTTCTCCTCTGAGGAACCGGCGCGAGAAGATGTCCTGGTATTGAAGGCGTGGTTGGCAGAGCATTCGGATGCGAATGCGGTGGGATAGGTGGGACCGTTGGTGGGATCGTGGACAACTTCGCTGGTTGAGGAGAGAGATCACCGTTCTCGGGCATGGTGAGTTTCAAGAAACTATGAGTTTGGGAGTCCATGTCATCGCTATCGGCGAGTGAGAGAGCTGCAGCATTGTCGTTGACTGATACTGATGACACAGGAGTAGCTGCATGTGGAGAAGGTAGTTGCTCGTGCTGGAGAGGGAGAGCCGAGTTCAAGCGTTTGGTACTTGAGGATGACCGTGTGGATTTTTTTCGAGGAGATAGTTTGAAAGGAGGCTTCTTGGTCACCGGTGTCTTGGCTGTAGACCTTCGTCTAGTTGCAGGCATATCGAGAGGAGAATTACAGCGGAAACTGAATGTGAAGGGACGGTTCGTTAGCCAACAAATACCCTAAACACAGAGGAGTACACCCGTGGTCGAGCAGACATACTTGCCGCATCAACCAGCTGAGATACTCCAAAGGAAGAGGACTAAATGTCGAGGCGCCGGTCTTGACAAAGTGGGTAAGATAGAATAACCCGTGAGCGGGCAAGCTAGGGGACTGCAAACTAGCGAGGTTGAGTGAGCCCAACCAGTTCGAGGGGAGGCTCGGGAGCGTCAACAGGAGGAGCCTGTGCACACAGGGGCAGAGAGCCGAGTAGTCACCGAAAGCCTGTCGGTGAACAAGAGTGTTAGTGCGAGGAAAAGATCGCCAAGGTGGGGAGAGACCCACAAGGGAAATGACGGGAGAGAATGAGATGAGTAGTTACTTGGAGATACTCTCGTGTGCCCACGCTCTGGAGGAGCTCCATACAAGGGCAGCTTCGTTCTCCCGTGCGTGCGAGTTCTGATGTCGCTCGCCCTATTGTGTACGCACACACAAGCACACTCGTGTGTTATCATTCTCACGCCCGAGGCTAAAATACGCATTTTTTCAGCTGATGGATTTATCAACGGACTCATCATCGTTCGTATCCAACAGCTGATAAAAAGCACGAACAGTTCTTAATAATTTTAACTTGCGCATTCTCGTGATGGATTCACGGAATATCGGAAACTCAGCGTTTGAAAGTCGACGCCTTGAAAAGTCGCAAGAGACGCGCCCTCTGTTCAGGGGGGTTTCCACGCCCAAGGCTAAAATGGGTACGTTCCTTAGCGGACCTCGTGGCTGTAACTGAAGTTCAACCTGGCTTGTGCTTCTAGACAAACTTCACTTGTTGACACCTACAGGAATGATAGTGATTCATTCTTGGATATGAATCTATGCAGTCTTTGGTTTGGAAGCATCCGGGTCCACCTGGAGACACGAAGCCTGTCCCTATGAAAGTTCGAGCTTAATGAGACTTTTGCCGGCTTGTTAACAGCGAGTACCGATTTTGCTATCATTATAAATCACTACTATGTATTGCTATTGACTGTTATCACGGGGTAACTCGTTAACCCAACATTAGAAAGTCAACCCGGAGCGACGCTTCACCAGCGTGCGTCCGGAACGCAACCGCCTTCGCCAACGCCCGAAGATACCCACGGTTTCACCGAAGCAGAGCTTGCGTAGGCCTCTGGACGAGTCAGCTCCGAGACTTTGTCAGATGATTGCGTCCTTCTCCCACCCACCCTCGATCCGTGGCGGAAGGAATCGGGTTTGTCTGCAACTTCGTCCCCTTGCTGTTTTAGCAAGGCTTAGAGTATGGTGGGGCCTGCCGAGCAGTGCCCCCTTCTCGTCTCAAGTCGTGCGACGATAATCGGACAAACCTCAATTTCCTTTGAGATGAAATCTTCGCATCGCTGTGAAGAATTTTCATCCCCAGACCCAAGCGCCGCGATCGAGTGGCCTTTTTAAACACTACATCAGCAACCTCAGGTCATCATAACAAGGAAAGTGCTCCACCGTGGAGCCTCCACGGGATCCATGGCGACAACAACGAGGTTTCACGGGCGTTGGGGTCACGTCACCACCAAGGCCGTCTCGTCCTATCTTTTTTATCCTTTGCACCGTCAATCACGATGTTCGCCCGCTATCTTGCCCTTATCGCGGTTACAGTCACCAATGTTGCCGCTGACAAGCTTTGTGGTACTCGACTGTGCCAGCAGGAAGTTGGTCATGGCTCTTACTGTAAGGATTACCAGCGAGATCCAGCTGGGCGTGTTTGCCAGACTCTCGATCCCAAGGACACCAGAATCATCCCCTGCGAATGTCCTAAGCCAACCCCCACCACAACTACCACTACTCAACCACCGACACCAACCCCCACCACAACTACCACTACTCAACCACCGACACCTCCTCATAGGCCTTGTACTCTCGGTGATTTTGTCTGTGACTTGGCGACACAAGGTGGTATCTGTAGGAGGTTGCCGGGCTGGAAGTTCGTCGGAAAGTGCGATGGTGGTTCCAAACCTGATCCTTTCCCATGCTTCTGCATCTAGGAGTAGAATCTACTCAGTAGATGTAGCTTCAATTTTTTCACCTTCTTTTCTCATTCTCCCTAAATAAGAGCGTCATTCACGCATATACCGACTCGCCTGTAGGATGCAGCGACGGTTATTGAAATACTACGGTTGTGTTCTTTGTCACTTATGGCAGTGCCATGGGGGTTCACTCTACGGTCCATGTTGGCAAACTCGTTACTCACCACTATTCACTATTCAACATTCCACACCACTAACAATGATAAAATTATGTTCCTACAGTGAATCGAACTCGTAGACCATCAGTACGGAACTCACGATCACTATCCATTAGACTATAACTACTCGTAAGAGATCATCTCTTAGAGATGCAACCCTTCCCAGTAGGTTGAGTTGCTCTTCATAGTATGAAGTTCATACTGACCACCCGCTCCATCTGATGCACAGTTATCAGGTGATGTGAGACTTCCACTGCCTCAGGAGATCCCTTCTTCGTTGAAGGGGATCCATACCCACTACAAACACAATGAGTAAAGCTATTAGAACACGATAGTCCCATGGGAGGTATCAATGATGACGGAATGCACTGCCAAAAAATCTACTTAGAGTTTTCCTGGTGCCTTGTCTGAATGCATTGGCCGATGCCAACAACTCTCCCGCTCCCATTGGAGGAACTAGTAGCCAACTACCAACACAGAGAAATGATGAAAAACATGTCAGTTTTGAGTCCTCACTAAGTAGCTGCACCTATCGATGCCAAAATGCCAATGACTAGTAAAGCGATGAGGAGCTTCCTCACAGCATTGGACGGACAGGATATCTGACTTACACGCTCGAGAGATACGAATAGGTCAGGCTGGCATCGAGATCGACGATAATGTCGGAAGACTCAAAAGTTGTGAGTCACAACAGGTAGATGAAAATTAGGACAAAATTTAGTGGGCAAAAGTAGGGGAAAATTTTTTCCATTGAATCTTACAAGTGGGAGCATTCAGCTCATAACACTAACTAACTCATCAATATCGGTTTTTTCTCGAAGGCGAAGTTATCCAGCTAGTTGGATTATATTCCGAATTAATTTGGGGCATTGGAGTTTCACCCGTTTCATATGAACATATGAACTCATATTATGAAGTAGCGAAAGACTCTGTAAAAAACGCGATACTCGCGCTATGGAGTAGTTTTGAAATATGCTTTTCAAGTTAGGTTATAATCCGTCATTAATTTGATGCTTCGGAGCTTCATTCATTCCACATGGAGTGGCGAAATACTCTGCGGAAAACGCAATATTCGCGATGGTATGCAGTAGTCTTGAAATAGGTTTTTCATATTACGGGTGAAACTCCATCGTATATTTGAAGTGATGATAAGAGAAGCAAAAGCTCTTACAGTTCGATATCTGGGCAGCCCTCCTGTCATTAATTCTCCAATTAATATGGCATTCTTGTCGTTATTGTTATCGCATTCTTTCGGCAAGCACACATTGGATGTTATAGCGACTTGGTTGTACGGTGACACGCTCGTTTCCAAAGAACACATTTTGCCTGAAAATCGCCCGCTATTAACAGACGAGATCGGAAGTATGCCTTTCTCGAAATAGAGAAATTCGAAGCCTAGATTATAGATGTCTTTTCACCACATGCACTGCGTGCCAATTTGATACTATGCAAATGTGAAGAGTGTACGTTTTCCACTCCCGGATGAATGATAGCGACTGACTATTAGTGAGCAACTTGGCTCTATCATAGTCTTGAGAGGTTACTTTCATCACATTACATGTCCAGAGTAATGTTCACATTGGAGTTTCACCCGCTTTACGTGAAATGGCGTTGTTCTCCGTGAAAAACTCTTTGTTTCGCAGTGATACGCAGCACTCGTGAAGTATATTCAAATATTTCCACAGCAGTTCAACAGAATTATCAGAATCAATTTACACTCATGCCAATATGAGTTTATGCGTCTATCACATTATCTTTTAATTACACTCTTCTGAACTTACCGAAGCTTTCGGAGCAAAATCGTTCCCAATCTTCTCCGTAACGACAATCCACTCCACAACGTGAATTGCAATTTTCGAATCGTTGGTTGCCAAAATCAACCTAAAATATACTCCGGAATCAGTGTAGAGGAATATTCACATACTCAAGTACATGTGTGTTGGAGAAGATACGCTCGCCTCAGCTCAGCTCAGGAATTCCCCCACTAGTTACAGAAGTTTACATGTGAACTCGAGCAGAAACGTACAGAAGCCAAGGAGAATTTGCCATGATTTTCATATTGTCACCAACACATGTCGCTGACCATGTGCATATTTTCCCACACTATACATGTATAAGTAGCACTATGAAAGTTTTTGAGGAAGTTTTCGTTGGTTTCCGAACACTTCTACTCGAGTTCATGTGTAAACCTCTACAATTAGGGAACTGCTGAGCTCAGGTGAAGAGAGCGAACGCACAATTCAACATTGCTCGAAAGCATGATTATGATGGCGATTCGGTCGCGCATTATTTCGGCTCTATTCTGTCTCCATTTCACGTGTATATGCTGCGCGCCTTGGACGTTATGAATGTACAGTAGAGTTGCACCCTAGTGATATGAAAACACTATCGGAGAATACATTTCCCGACTACTGTTTATCACCGCGAATATCGCGTTTTTCACCGAGTTTTACACCACTTCACGTAAAACGGGTTGGGAAACTCCAGTGCGTGGAAATTTAATGTGTATTGTATCACGTGATTAATGATGGTAAACAAGCACCCTACATTTTGTGAATTCACACACGATCTATGCGGGGGAAACAAACGCTAATCTCAGTATTCGAATCAGCACGCGTAGTCGACCATGTGCACATTCTCTCATCCTCAAAGACTTACCTCTTCACAACAAGTCGCCACTGAGTTTTGGAAAATCATATAACACAAACTTCGCTCGCGCTGGTACCAAAATTGGAATGCCGAGGAATGCGTCTGAAAAAAATCGGAATTTCCGCGATGTAAAACTTCAAAATTTACCATTTTATGCCAAGCATTTGAGCATTCCAAACTGACTGCGTCAACGAAGCAGGCGAAGAGTAGTGCTACTGACACGAATCTGTGGAACCCCATGAATAAGGAAACTTGTGTGAGTAGACAAATCGATAACATATAATCCATGCATGAATTCAATTTCTTATTCTCATTCGATTATCCGCGGCAATTCGAGAAGTATAATCAACATGAACTCAATTGTAGTTAGTAGTGACTTGATTGAGGCCATTACGACTCAAGGTAACAATGTGGGATATATGCACATGGTCAACTACACGTGTCAGACCTTTCCGGAGACACTTGCACAGAATCATTGTCCCTTTCGGTACAGGAATATATGTTTGGTTTCCTCAACTGAGCTCGTAGGTTTCCTCACTATTTTATGAAAAATCACACGATTTTGGGTATAAGTATACAAAAATCAACGATAACTTCGCAAGATTTCCTCAAAATTTCCATATTCCTAGCAACACATGTAGTTCACCATGTGCATATATTCCCGCACTGGTCCCTTTAGCTAGCTAATGAGTCTTGGTAGGCTTCGCTGTATTCACTTACTCGGAAAACTCTACTGTTGTGTTATTATGGCTTCTAAGACTAAGGCCAATTATGTTGCTGTAAATGTGGAAATTCTGGGAAAATTTTGGGAAGTTATCGTTGGTTTTTGTGCACTCCTGCCCAAAACTCTCATAATGTGGTGAGGAAATTTACGAGCTCAGTTGAGGAAACCAAACATATGTTCTCGAACTGCAAGGTATACCTCAACTCTAAATGTAATTGTGATTACTGTTTGCATCTTGAATTCCAATCCTCAATGGTGTGAGGAGGGCTGTTCGATGGCCACGGATGAAGTTGGAAGGGTGGTGATTACCCGTTGGGTTGTTCGACATCACAGATCCTCATTGACTTACAGCACTAGCCAGTGCATTACTATTTGGAGGAATAGGATGCATTCAACAGCAACAGTACGACCTCTTATTAGCCATACCTAGAAAGGGCAGACGGATTTCACATCACACAACTATTGGACGATAGAGTGATCAGTGGGGCGAGTTGGCTTGACGAGTTTCGTGTGGGGAGCTGCGATCGGGCCTATGTTTATAATCACTCAATAGTTGTGTGCTGTGGATGCTGTCCCGTATAGCTCTAGAAAAGTAAATTATCGTAAAGCGTGTTACACCTAGCATTGATGGCAAACACCAAATGGTCATAATCTGTCTTATTAAGAGAACTAGGGCTGATTATAAGTGGTCGCACTTCGTGTCGGCCTTTGATAGGCTTTCTTCTGCCTCTCTTTCCTCGTCTCTTAATTTCTTTTTCTCCCATCTCTCTCGATAGAATCTCTTTCTTCCAGCTCAGCCTAGCTTGGCTAGTAGTAAGCTGTTCTGTTACTGTCGTATTCACTTTACCTCTCCAAATAGTGGCGCTCTCGTTAGTGTTATAAGACTACTGATTTCAGCTGGGCAACCAAGACGATCATTACTCTCGGTGTCGCTTGCCTCAAAGGTCGAGTCTTCCCAGCGCTAACTCAACAGTGTCGTTGTTGCATACGGAGTTAACCACTAGGAATTGATAGTGATACTAACTCTAATAGAGTTACTAGCAACATCATAAACCGATAATCCGTTTACACGGGGGCACTAAGCGCTTAACCTATGCGTGCCGTCAGCGGAGCGATCCATGTCATGTTTGTCGAAAAAGAGACTGCCTGCAATTGAGGGGCCCTTTGTGTGGTGTACAGAAGGGGGCTGGGCAGTAAATGTCTTATTTACCGTGACATTATTCCTTCTTAGAGGAAAGTCGTAGTAGACCAAGCACTCAACAAGTGCCAAAGTGATGAAAGCCGTAAAGCTTCTTATGAAGACTGAGCTACGTTCGTACGCAAACTCAATGAGCGAAGCGAAGTGATTTTCTTTCCATGAAATGGAACAACACAAACTTGAACTTGAAAACGCTCGTAAAATTTCAACCCACTTATACTCTAATATA